TGCTGTTGAAAGCAAAGACTGAGTTTTCTTGTTTTTTGGAAAATGTGGTAATTGCCATTCAAAATCTTTTATTCAAATTAGTTAAACTTCATCAACAGCTTCTCTAATGTTTTCCTCTTGAAGTCTGTTGCTAATTCTTAAATTTGGGGTTATCCCTTAAAAAGGATTATTTTGGAAAAGTGACCTAATGCTGTAATTACACCTTACTTCATGTGTGTATCTAGATCTGTGAGCGAATAGTGACTGGAAAGTTAGTTTGTGTAAACAGGATTGCCATTTGTTAATGTACAGTTTTTGATGAAGCAAAAGTTACATTTTTCAAGAGCTTCATCCCCTTGCATTCTACATCGGTTTGAGGTTGGTTTTTTTTTTTATTTGTGTCATTAATACGAACTTTAAATTTGCCTATGAATATTTTTAAAGATTAAAGATCTGTCTTGAAATCTTCACCCCTTCTAAAGAAGTGAATTTTTTTTGTTTGTTCGTTGGGGTTTTTTTTTAAGTACTTGTCCGTAGCTTTGACTTGTGCAAACTTGTTCTGTAGCCTGCATCTTTTAAGTTGAGGTGGGTGAAAGTAGAACTCCTGGTTCTTAAACTGTTAAAATTAGCCGTTATGAAAAAGTATATTATTCAGCAATTCGTGTTACTGTTCTCCTAAAAGGTTTCAAGAAACTATGATGTGACCCTAGCTAAAACCATCTTTACTTCCTTATGAGGTGTATACACTTCTGAACTTGGCAAACTCGCTGTCCAAGATCAAACACTTATGGTCCCAGTGATTGCAAGTTTTTTCATGTATCTGTCTTGGCGATGCTTTGTATTTGTACTTTAAAATCTGGCTCTGAAGTTTTAAGGGTAGAACTCCCTGTGCCCACAGGAAACTTCAAGGCATACATAGAGTTAAAGGAGCTTGAGCCATATCAAATGAACAACTTCTTATGAAACTGTAATTAAAAAGTAAATATTGGAAAAAAAGAATTATATTGGGCATTTTTTAATACAGGTAGGATTACTTAAGGTGAATGAGATATAAAAATTAAATCAGGCTTCATAGTAACTGTTTAATATAGACGAGAGGGCTCCTTGTGCTGAAACTATCACTTCATGCATTTCTTCCAGTCAGTTCAAGGTAAAAAGTTAGTGGAAAAGTTTGGTTTGTATCTTATAGCCAGTGGAGGGACGATGAAATGTTTACAGTGAATTGATACTATGAATCTGAAAAATCTGTGAATCTGAATATAAACAAAATAAATTTTAAGTCTGTTACTCCTTAAGCTGATAAACTTCTATTTTAGTCAATAAAAGCTTACACGGAACTAATGAACTTGCTTTTAGTCCGCGCACTGTAGAAAGTAAATAAGAGGATAAATGTTTATTTTGGCTATTCTGGGGTGGAGAGGCTGAGGTGGCAGGAAGGAGGACCAAGGAAGGGGAAAATAATTTGTTGTCACTACTGTGACAAAAAAAAAGGTCATTTTAGATTTAAATACATACAGAGTTTTCATAAAGCCTGATGTCATATGTCTAATACCTACACGAAGGCTGAATCTCACCACACATAAAGTCTGGCCACAAAAGGTGTTTTGCATGATAGGGAGCTTTAGAAAAACATTTGGCAGCTTCACGGTCACATTCACATGCCATTTTTTGACATTTGTCCTCTAGTGATTCTGAAAAAAAAACACAGTAAGTTTGATGTTAGTCTGAGGTAATTAAAAATACCAAATGGAATACCAAGAACTGCTACCTCACGTTCTGTATGTGCCATACAAATGTCTCTTCTATTTCAAGTGCAATAGGAACTGTACTGAGCTTTAGTAAGACTTAAAAGTTCTGTCATGTTCTTTGGACAGGGGGCTGTGCTGGGACATCTCGGCCACAGAGAATATCCACGCGTGGCTTGGTTTAGTGACAACAGTCAGTGGAATTACCTTGACAGGTGAAAATACAATAATTGGATAAAGACTTAAATACTCTTCTTCATGTTCTTTAATAAAGAAACTCTAATAACTGGTTCCTCTTCAGAAAGTGGTATGTGACCCTCCCTGCCTGCCCTGTTCCTCTAGTGAAACTGGAGTTTGGGAAGATATTTTCCATTTCTCATATGCTTTAATCTACTAAAGGATGTAGCATTAAAATTACATATGTGACATAAGGGATGCAAAAGATATTCCATGTTCAGCTTAAATTGCCCGCCTGTTTTTTTTATTAAGGCATTCAGTAAGAAGTTAGGTAAAGTGTGTTTACAATAAAATCCATGTCTGGCCATATTTGTTTTATAATTGTAGTGTTGTAACTTAACAGATTTCTTGGCGTGAATCTTTCTTCTTGGCATGAACATTTTCTTCTACAGCAATATATTTTGGTATTACTGTGCCAACCCAGAAATGTGTGTGTTTTTCTCTCTGCAACTATCTGTAAACTGAAGAATCCTTGATTGTATTTTGTCTGAGTATTTCACATTTTGAAAGTTTAGCTGAATCTCTGCTTGAGATTTGGCTAGGGGCAGAACAAGTGTTCAGTGCTGTGAATGAACTCAAATTCTGCTATTGGAAATGGAAGTGTTCTTAATGTATATAAGTTGATGCTGTAACTAGCTACCCTAAGAACTACTCAGTAGAATAAGCAGCATAAACAACATGGATAGGCTAAAAAACAAAAACCACCAAAACAAAACAAACAAAAGAAAAACGAACAAAAAACACATTAACTGAGAGGAACTATTCCTTCTCTTGTTACTGTTGCAAACTTAATCTTCTCCATGGTATGTCAGGGACTTTGCTTCAGCTTTGTTTCTTGGTGACATGCCTACTATCTTGGCCAGTATTTTGAAATGTCAGCTTCTGGACTGTGCAGGAGCAGAGCCTTTACAGTCAAATACAGATGACTGTAACTTGACAGTTGGATGGTTTGAGAGGGAAGGTGTTTAGTACTGCTGGAGCAGAGGAGGAAATTGGCAAGTAGAGATTCTGCGTGAGGTAGCCACTTGGGCAAAGTAGTAAGGGTTGAATGAAAAAGAGGAAAGGAAAGACCGTTGAAAACTTTCATTTGATTTCAGGTCAAACAAATTCTAAATTGGCTTATAAATTAGAGGTTTTTATGTTTTCTCTGAACAGCCTGCTTGTCGCCTATAAACTATAGCAGTTAAAAACTCAGACTGAGTGTCGTAAACAAGTTTTTATAAGGATCTGCATTTTTGTGGTGCAAATAATAACCAATTCTCAAGATGATTTGCATTCTAGATAGCAGCATAAAATTACATGCAAAGTAACTGACCTAGCACCTGATTTAAAAACAACACCTCCCAAACAAACAAACCAAAACAAATCAAACCCCAAAACCTAACGACAAGAAAAAACCCTGCAAGTTTTAGAGGCTTGTGAGAAATTATTTTAAAAAGGTGTTTGAAGTATATTGGAAAATATTTGCTAAAACTTTGGGAGTTGTGAACAAGTAATGTAAAAGAAATGCTGCTGTTTCCTGTTCAACATTTTTTGTTTGTTTCTTTGAGATCTCTTTGTCCTTCTCTCTTACACCACAGCAGGGCAAGTATATTGCATTCATGTTTTGGAGCAATTGAAAAAAATTTATCAGGATGTGGTCAGCCATCTGTTGCAACTTGTAAACTAATTATGTAAATATTTTCAAATTAACATTTTATGGCTTGTGGATGTATTACTTCGATAAATAAAGATACTCATCAATTACTTTATTACCTCAGTGTCTGAAATTGTAAGTTGTAATTACAAATTCATTCATAAATTGCAGCCACTAGCAGTGGGCTGTGCAACTGATCGGTGGTAAGTATGCCAAAAACTTGTCCATCATAAACTTATAAATGGTGTGAAGTATTTTCTGCTAAGTATAAAAAGGATCCTTTTTAAGCAGTTGTCATTTTGTTGCCTCCTGTTTGTAGTTGCTTTCCAGCTGGAGACCTGCAGGAAGTAGCATAACACGGGTTCCTCAACGTGTATAAATGCTGAGTAAAAAAAAAGGGGGGTTTTGGTAATGTTTTCTGAAATATAAGCTGGTAGAACAGAATTTTGTTTGCTTATGTATGTCAGTAGGTGGGGATTAAGAAGAAGAAACTACCTTCAGTTGGTTGTCATAGCTGTGCTTTCTGGAGGCACAGCTTACCCTGGCAAATGTCACAAAAGGAAGGATGGTAAAATAGGAATTCTATAGTTAATTAAGAAAATGTCTTTCTATGAAGTCAATGAGACAATTGGTAAAAGTTTAAAATAAAAAACCAAAAAAACTCCCCAAAAAAACCCCCAAAACACACCAACAAAAAACCCAACAAAAAAAAAAACCTCCAACCAACCAAAAAACCCCAAACCAACAAAAAAACCAACCAGAACTGTTCACTCACCACACACAGCAGCATTATCTTCACATTCCCAGTGGTAACTTTCTATCTTTGGGTGACAGCCTGCTTGTTCTGCCTTACCATAGCAGCAGTCATGGTTAAAGCAGCACCTGGGAGTGACAGAAAGGGGTTTGCCTTAATTCATACTCTGGTGATTTACGGTCATGTAATCTGGATGGTTTTTATCAGCACGTTTCTACAGGCTGTGAAATAACAAACGTCAACATGCGAATGTACCAACAGTTACCTGCTCTGGAACTATTTAATAGATCACCTGGAAAATTATTATTTCTCTTTCATGTAATCAATGATGAGGAAAATGTCTGATGCGCATTGATCTAGCTGAACGTCCTCATAGATAAAAATACAAGGAATCTTTAAAGCATTCTCAATTTTAAACACAAACTTTTATGTGGTTATGCCTCTGCCAACCCTTTCCAAGAAAAAGATCAGAAGCCAGAATAGTCTGTCGGGTAATGACTGTTGTATTTTCTGCCAGGTACTGATGTTACTGTGACATCAGTAGGGGGATAGGACAAGAAGATTGGTTAGGCCATAGCATGCTATCATAAATGGTGTCTTACAGCAAAGTCCTTAGATGGTGGCAGAAAAGCTCAGCAGGCGAAATGTGCTGTTTAATACAACTAAAACTGTTTGCTCGGTATCATGAAAAAAATTGTAAATTTGCCCAAAATTACGATTTCAAAATTGTTCTTGTCATAGTTGGGACATGAATTCATAGACTTTCTATCACATTGAGGAACCAAACAGTACAGGTAAGCATTAATGGCATATTTTAATGCTTAAAAAAAAATAATCTTCTGGTGTAGCATCATTGCAAGCTCAGACCAGCAAGTAGGGGAGGTAACAAGGACCTGAAATTAGATAGCTTGGAAGTTTTTGCTACAAACTAACTAAACTCTTTCTTTTTTGACTCAGCGGAAGAACAGGATGTATCCATGAGCTCTTTGCATTCAGTCATTCGGTTTCCTCCTGGTAGCCTAAAACCATCATATTGCAGTAGGCACATGATGTTTAGATGGTGTTTGGATTGCCTGGGGAATTTATGTCTGCAACAGAAGTTAATTCTGTGAGCTCTCACTTGCAATTACAGTTTTTTCCTATGCTTATTAAGTAATTACTTGGTAACTCCACACCAGTCGCCATTTAAAGGTCCTGCAGTATGTAACAATTGAACAGCACATGCCTGCAAAGTAGCTCAATTCATCCATTTCATGTATAGAAATAAAATAAATTAAAAAATCTAGTCAGTCTTTGTAGCAGTACTAAGGTAAATAAACCAGGAAATATGGCTTCTTTTGCCATAGTGCAGTCTATCTTCATGTGTTTACAAAAAATTTTTAGAATGACTTCAGTCATCTTTTAAGCATTTTGAATAAAAACAGATGCTTAAGGATTTTATATTTTACCTTATGACAGCAATATATGATTTTCTCCATTTGAAAGTTTTAAAGTGGCAGGCAGAAAACTCAAATTGCAGTAATTATTTGAATAATTCCATTATGGATGTCCTTACTTTAGATGAAGTATTTCTGTATTTTCATTTGTTTTCAGGCATAATTCTGAATGTAAATAGCCCACAACGTAGCTCAAAACTTCACGTTGAACTTGGTAAGAATGTTTGTCTCTACATTCAATTGGTGCAATTCTTGATTCTGTTCAAATGTGGTAGAGCAAGTACACTCACTTCTGGCTTGTTCTTAACCGTAGCTAATTCTGTGGCTACTAAACCCCGCCAGAAATAGCTAACCATGTTTTGTAAAGAAGCAGCTTCTTACTACCGTGGGACTTTTACAAAGTGGAAAAAATGGCCTACAATGAAAGACTGGCAAACTGGAGATTCTCTCCTGTTACATTTAGGTATACAGATGACGGAACTAATAACAGTCTCTTCTTTTTGTATATGTTCCCAGTCTTTAAAGCAGCAACTACAGTCTCAAAATTGTCTTTAAAGTAAGAGATTACACATCCAAAAACTTGAACTTGAGATGTCACATATGGTGGGGAAATGTGTCATTGTAATGATAAACTTGAAACTATAAAACCTTTATTTAACTACTGTAACCAGAAAATCATCTTCCCGTCAGCTATTCTTCAATCATAAATGAAACTGATGGTAGTCAATATGCTGAGATTTAGTACTAAACACAAAGGTTTGGCTTTAGAATTATTTTAGTAACAATTCGTAATTCCTTTTATTCAAATGTTCTTTTTCAACAGGTTGAATTTTGCATAATTTTCTACGTATTATTTTGGATACTAATAAAATGGGATGGATGGTAGTAGAATCAAAAGATTTTTCAATTGCAATTTTTTTTTTTAATTTTTACTTTTATAGATCGCTTGAATATGAGAAGCTTTAAAGCTTCTCCAAGATTACTTTAGTTCTTCAGCTCTTGGCCAAACAGTAACAGCAAAGAAACTGAATTGTACTGTGAATCCAATATTTATGCAATCAGAGTTTAAGGCAAGTAGTAACACAGTCTTAATGCTTCAGAGTTTCTTAGCAGTCTGAGGTGTGTTTAAACTCAGTTCCCTCACTAATGTTAAATAGGCCTAATTCGTATTTTAGTCCTTTTACTCTGACATCTGCATACATTCAGCATTTAATTACATAGTTACTCTTACCAGTCTACTCTGTCCTTGGGCCATCCTCTTCCTCCCAGACCACAGTAGCATCCATAACGTAGGTAGGCAAAGGGAGATCGTCCTGTAGTACATCTAATGGCCCCGGCTAATTCAAGAATTCCTCTTCGATTTCTAAAATGGGCTTCCCCAAAAGTGCCTTTACAAACTGTGGAAGAAAAACTACTTCTTTTTTACTGAATCAAACATGCAGATATAAAATAGTTGTTGGGTTTTTTTTTTAACTTTGATAATGAATGTCAGTACTTGAAAATAAAGCAGTTTTCTTTTTGACATTTTTGAGGCACACTGCTTGACCCAGTCCCTTTTTACCCCAATCTATGGTGAGCAGAATACTGAATGACATTCTGAATAGCTGCAGTGGTTTCCTCCCATCAGGGCAGCATACAATGGCAGACTTCAGTCATTTCCAGTCTTAAAACTGACAAGGGCTAGCCTGTATTCTGTGGTCTAGGTCCACTGATTTGCTAAAATTAGATGCCCTAAGCATTGCAGTATTTTCTCCTTACCATAACATGCAATTTTGCCCATGTTGTTATTTTGTAGAATGTAAGGGTTTACATTTGAATGAATACATCCTCTATGATGAGGTTCTGGGTTTCCTCATTTTTAGACAAAGAAGCCAAATAACTGGCAGGGGTGGTGGGGTGGGTGTAGAGCAGAGAAATGGACAGGTGCTTGGAGTCATTTCCAGGGAAATTAGAAGGATTGCGCTTTTTTTTCTGTTTCGTTTTGTTGTTGTTGTAAGGGATTCTCACCATTATTTCTCCAGAACAAGGCTGTATTTAGGAACTTTAACTATCCCGTGTCAGTACTAAAGTAGTAAGTCCAGAGCAGCAGAAAACTGTTGAGACACCAGATAACCTTTCTTTTTTTTTTTTTTTTTTTTTTTTTAGGGCCTCATGGCATCCTTCAGGTTGAGCTAATGCATCAAAGACCCTTAATGGTAATGGGCAGCATTTGCTTGCAGTGCAGGCTCCAAGCTATTTGCAGCAATTTTTAAGTAGTGGGATGAATACAAAACAAATTAGTGGAATTAGAGTTGTCTTACTAATTAAACTAATGACTTATTTTGGTATGAGAACAGTTTATAAACCTTAACTACCAGTACTAGATACAGATTGGGAAAGACATTAAGATTTAATAACTGATAATATCTGTGAGAGAGACAGCAGAAAAAAAATTTAGACTTTGTCATTGATGGCTTTGATATTTATTTTCTTCCAGAATAACTGTGTGATTATACAGTTTGTATATAATCTGTATAATCATATAATCTATTATAATAGACTGGTCTGTTATAATGGATTATATGATTAACTATAATCAGTTAATGGAAGATCTGCCACAAAAATGCTGTTCCCAGCACAGCTGAGTAACTTGAAATGCGTCGGATGCTGGTGACCTCCAGCACTTACAATTTCGTGAAACAAAGGGATTTAAACATCTCATGAAATCACCTCATTAAGAAATACAATTGTTTTATATGTGAGAATGGTTTTTTTTTAAAAAAAAAAAGGCTTTAGGAAGAATGTTTGTAGCTAATCCTTCCTTATGAAGATAGCTAGGCTTCCTAAGACAATATTTAGTACTTTTCTGACTGGCGACTACTCCCAGATCTTGTTCCCTCCTGCTTTGTGGCCTCATGAACTAGGGAGAGGAGAGGATGTTGAAATGAGTGCTTAAACTTGCACACGCGTCTTTAGCCATTGACTAAAGGCAATCACATCTTGAGGATTTAAAAGAGCTTCCTTGGCTATGTAGTCGCTTGCAGTTTTGTTTGAAAACTGTTCCATTGGCACTAAAACTTCCTTGCTAAGACAGTGAATAGTATCTGTTGTGTGATGGCTCCCATTCCAGGATATTATCTACTGCTTAGTTATATAGGGTTTTGGGTGAAAAGATACTCTTGTGCCTTCCCAAGGGGCCATAAGGTGTACTGGGTGGACTCTTTGGAACCTGTAGCTCTAGATGTCAAAATAACAGTCACGTTGTGGAACTGACACATGATCATCTCCCATTCTGTGGCAGCTTGGAATACATGTTTCAGCTCTGGGTAGCAGAAGCATACATTTAAGTATAACCAGGTTCTTAGCTTTATGATAGCATTGAAAGTGCTATCTTCGCTGTCAGTACAGGTTCAGTAAATTCCCAGCTGAAAAAAACCCTGCAATAAGGCTGCAGCATAACAAATGACAACTGCTTATACTCTTAAATGTTTAGTAAGATTCAGCTAGACTCTTGCATCTAGCCAGTAATGTCTGAAGGAACTATGTTAGTGGGTCTAAGCTGCGCTTGCTCTGCATGATGTTAGTGATTCTGAAGAAAGTGAAGAATTTTTACATTGTGTCTCAGTTCCTGGCAATTGGGGGAGGATGGTGGAGGAGAGCTACAAGACAGGAAGAGAAAACTAGGAATTTCCAAGTCATATTCTTGGTTTTGTTGGAGAATTTCTTGCTAACTTTGGGCAAATCCCAGGCCCTTGATTTAAATCCATGTAAAGTAGAAGTGATGAACTGTCTGTTCCCTGAGGAGCTTAAGTATAAATCTTTAAAATGTGCCATGTAACTTAGAGAAAAGGACATGAATTTTTTATCCTTGCAATTTATTTATGTTAGAGCATCTGGACATACAGATAGAAACCAAGACTGTATTGTACTGCAGATCCTCTGAATATAACCAACAGAAAAGTCTCTGTCCCAACAGCTTAGTAACCTGAGTTTAATAAATCCAGTGAAAGACCATCCTAGAACACATAGAACTATGGGAATAATAAGAGTATTGGTATGATGGTGGTAGCATTTGTGTATTGGCAACATAATAAAATTTCCAAAGTATTTTTATCAGAACTTCTGTGGAATGCAGTCAGAGTGTGAAGTGACATTCTGCCTGTTTCCAAATGTTTCATGATTAAGGTGTGTTTTTAAAATCTTCTCTGTGGTTTTGTTGGTTTTTATGAAGACTTCACATTTATCTTTATGGACAAGAGTGTTCCTATAGGTTTGATTATACATTCCTGAAAGAATAGTGTCATCCCTCTATGTCTAATCTGGTTCTGTGTTTGTTGTGCACGTTGTGTGCAGCTCTGTCAAACACAGTATTGTGCATTTGGAGCAAGGGAGGGAACTAGATTGTGTTTGTTCTAATTTTGTTGTTTTATGTGTATGAAAAAAATCAAACCCACATTGTTTTGATATCTAGAGGTCACAGGAAATAAGTACAGCTAAGTGTACAACAGTAATTTATAGTTAGACAATGAGTCTAGTCTTGTTATGGCTTTTAATATTCTTGTAATATTTAATTCCAGTGCTTATTGCATAATAGGAATTGGAACTTTGTTAAAAGTTTCAACTGTTTTCATCCTTGAAAGAAAACTTTAAAGACGTATTTGGGAGAGGAAAATAACTTAAGAGATTAGTCCATCAGCAAACTCAGATTTAACTGGATTGACGTAGCTGCTTTAAAAGTAAAGGTTGAAGGGAAACCAAACCCATACTAATCCTAAGGCTACTTTAGGCGCCATAAAATAACAGATGGGGAAAGAAAAAACCCCAAATAAATCTATGCAGTGGTCTTTGTGCTTGTAATGACAAAGCCAGAGAGATCAAAAGCCGTGAGGTGACTTCTGAAGGCTGAAATTAAGTAAACACTAAAGACAGCCTGAGAGAAAGTAACAGTAAGTAATCACATTATATTTGTGTTGTGCTTGATTTTAAACCTGTAATTCCTGTTGCTGAAATTTGAGCCCTGCCTTGTTTGGAGAGTTTGAACTTCATCATACTGTCTTGGTGTGTTGCCTGTATAAGCTCTTGAGAGTTCAAGTTGTGCTAAATGCTGTACATTGTTATGTCTTTGTGTGATGTTTTCCTACTCTCCTTTTCCCCTAGTTTTCTGGATAGCTTAGAATACCATTTAAAAATCCAGTCCCTTAAATTTCCATATGCATGGAAGAAAATCCCACATTTTAGAAACACGTGAATTTTTTGTGAAAGGTCACATTTTCCATAACGTTTTACTCTTTGCAATAGGCACAATGCAAACATAGTAATTATTTTTGCAGATATATAGTTGAGATGCACAGCTTTGATAATTACATAACTACATTAATCATTAGCATATAAGTCTATGATGTTTTATGGTTTTAAAAGAAATTTTAAGCCATTCTTTCAAAGACTGAGTCTACAGAAACACTTTTTGATGTTGTTAAATACATGAAAGGTTTCCTATAGTGGTATTTCCTTAGTACAGTCATAGTGCACCAGTAGTTCAGAACTTCAAACCTGGGAATAAGCAGACTTTCTGACACGTCGCCGAGATAGCTCCAGAAGTGGAAACCTTTGAACTGTATGCATTATAGAAACTTTTTTTTTTTTTCCTTAGATGTTTTCCTCTTGTTTCATAAGCTATCAGGAATGGCCTTTTTCACCTTATCTTGTTGCCCAGACTACCAATGTGCTGTCTCCACAAACTGTGCTCACAATTAAATTTTTGGAAAGGATAAATTTTCCTGTCCTGACACTGCGGACCAAGCCTTGAGGAACAAGTAAATTGCATTTCCCTTCCTCCTCACTGCCTACGGAACGGGAGACTGCGATGCCTGACTCGGAGCTATCGGACTGAAGCCAGGCTCTCTGTAACGACCACTCCAGGCTGGCAGAAGCAGTGAAAAAGTCTTTCATTGCTTCCCTTCATGTTCTTGCTGAGGTTTGTGCCATGCAAAGGATGAAGACAAGGATGATCAAAATGCAGAAGGAATAACAGAGGCATGCTGAGGTCAGGAAGCAGAACTGGGGCAGTGAGCTTGGTGGGACCTTAAGTTGGCCTCATTATGCAAGCACCTTACCTTATGGTCTTTAATCATGTGATTGCCTCCCCCCCGCCCCCACTTCATTCTGTGCACAGAATCTGTTAAAAGAAAGAATTGAGGCTCTTGTCCTTGGGATCCTTCTATTTGCAAGATTTGGTTTGTTGAATTTGCAAGCTGTGTAGAAATGTACGAAAAAGGATATTTTAATTAAGGAGCCGAATGCTATTCTGGAAAACTGGGTTTTATCCTTACAGCTGTCACAAAGGTTCAGCATGAGGTTAGTTTAATTACTTTAAAACAATGCGTATCGATGTTTGCTAATAGTAGGCTCCTACTAATAG